CGTTATCAGCTGCTCTTTCGGACTTCTCCTGGGGCGGGGCGGGCGCGCCTATGCGGGCAGCTCAGCTTCTTACAGAAGGTCCTCACTCGGAAGGACGGACGGACACATCGAAGGAAAGGCGGGGCGGTGGGCGTGACAGAGCCTCAGAGGGCGGGGGGCCGTTGGGGCCCCCCGCCAGACAGTCCCGCAGTTGGGAGTGGCCCCCGCCCCGCATCTGCCATTATTAGCTTCTTTTTCGGACTTCGTGGGACACACGCAGACGGACGGACGGACACATCGAAGGAAAGGCGGGGCGGTGGGCGTGACAGAGCCTCAGAGGGCGGGGGGCCGTTGGGGCCCCCCGCCAGACAGTCCCGCAGTTGGGAGTCGCCCCCGCCCCGCGTCTGCCGTTACTGGCTTTCTTTTTGGACTTCTTGGGACACACGCAGACGGACGGACGGACACATCGAAGGAAAGGCGGGGCGGTGGGCGTGACAGAGACTCAGAGGGCGGGGGGCCGTTGGGGCCCCCCGCCAGACAGTCCCGCAGTTGGGAGTGGCCCCCGCCCCGCATCTGCCATTATTAGCTTCTTTTTCGGACTTCGTGGGACACACGCAGACGGACGGACGGACACATCGAAGGAAAGGCGGGGCGGTGGGCGTGACAGAGCCTCAGAGGGCGGGGGGCCGTTGGGGCCCCCCGCCAGACAGTCCCGCAGTTGGGAGTGGCCCCCGCCCCGCATCTGCCATTATTAGCTTCTTTTTCGGACTTCGTGGGACACACGCAGACGGACGGACGGACACATCGAAGGAAAGGCGGGGCGGTGGGCGTGACAGAGCCTCAGAGGGCGGGGGGCCGTTGGGGCCCCCCGCCAGACAGTCCCGCAGTTGGGAGTGGCCCCCGCCCCGCATCTGCCATTATTAGCTTCTTTTTCGGACTTCGTGGGACACACGCAGACGGACGGACGGACACATCGAAGGAAAGGCGGGGCGGTGGGCGTGACAGAGCCTCAGAGGGCGGGGGGCCGTTGGGGCCCCCCGCCAGACAGTCCCGCAGTTGGGAGTGGCCCCCGCCCCGCATCTGCCGTTATTAGCTTCTTTTTCGGACTTCGTGGGACACACGCAGACGGACGGACGGACACATCGAAGGAAAGGCGGGGCGGTGGGCGTGACAGAGCCTCAGAGGGCGGGGGGCCGTTGGGGCCCCCCGCCAGACAGTCCCGCAGTTGGGAGTGGCCCCCGCCCCGCATCTGCCATTATTAGCTTCTTTTTCGGACTTCGTGGGACACACGCAGACGGACGGACGGACACATCGAAGGAAAGGCGGGGCGGTGGGCGTGACAGAGCCTCAGAGGGCGGGGGGCCGTTGGGGCCCCCCGCCAGACAGTCTCGCAGTTGGGAGTGGCCCCCGCCCCGCATCTGCCATTATTAGCTTCTTTTTCGGACTTCGTGGGACACACGCAGACGGACGGACGGACACATCGAAGGAAAGGCGGGGCGGTGGGCGTGACAGAGCCTCAGAGGGCGGGGGGCCGTTGGGGCCCCCCGCCAGACAGTCCCGCAGTTGGGAGTGGCCCCCGCCCCGCATCTGCCATTATTAGCTTCTTTTTCGGACTTCGTGGGACACACGCAGACGGACGGACGGACACATCGAAGGAAAGGCGGGGCGGTGGGCGTGACAGAGCCTCAGAGGGCGGGGGGCCGTTGGGGCCCCCCGCCAGACAGTCCCGCAGTTGGGAGTGGCCCCCGCCCCGCATCTGCCGTTATTAGCTTCTTTTTCGGACTTCGTGGGGCACACGCAGACGGACGGACGGACACATCGAAGGAAAGGCGGGGCGGTGGGCGTGACAGAGCCTCAGAGGGCGGGGGGCCGTTGGGGCCCCCCGCCAGACAGTCCCGCAGTTGGGAGTCGCCCCCGCCCCGCATCTGCCGTTACTGGCTTTCTTTTTGGACTTCTTGGGACACACGCAGACGGACGGACGGACACATCGAAGGAAAGGCGGGGCGGTGGGCGTGACAGAGCCTCAGAGGGCGGGGGGCCGTTGGGGCCCCCCGCCAGACAGTCCCGCAGTTGGGAGTGGCCCCCGCCCCGCGTCTGCCGTTATTAGCTTCTTTTTCGGACTTCGTGGGACACACGCAGACGGACGGACGGACACATCGAAGGAAAGGCGGGGCGGTGGGCGTGACAGAGCCTCAGAGGGCGGGGGGCCGTTGGGGCCCCCCCGCCAGACAGTCCCGCAGTTGGGAGTCGCCCCTGCCCCGCGTCTGCCGTTACTGGCTTTCTTTTTGGACTTCTTGGGACACACGCAGACGGACGGACGGACACATCGAAGGAAAGGCGGGGCGGTGGGCGTGACAGAGCCTCAGAGGGCGGGGGGCCGTTGGGGCCCCCCGCCAGACAGTCCCGCAGTTGGGAGTCGCCCCCGCCCCGCGTCTGCCGTTACTGGCTTTCTTTTTGGACTTCTTGGGACACACGCAGACGGACGGACGGACACATCGAAGGAAAGGCGGGGCGGTGGGCGTGACAGAGCCTCAGAGGGCGGGGGGCCGTTGGGGCCCCCCGCCAGACAGTCCCGCAGTTGGGAGTCGCCCCCGCCCCGCGTCTGCCGTTATTAGCTTCTTTTTCGGACTTCGTGGGACACACGCAGACGGACGGACGGACACATCGAAGGAAAGGCGGGGCGGTGGGCGTGACAGAGCCTCAGAGGGCGGGGGGCCGTTGGGGCCCCCCGCCAGACAGTCCCGCAGTTGGGAGTGGCCCCCGCCCCGCATCTGCCATTATTAGCTTCTTTTTCGGACTTCGTGGGACACACGCAGACGGACGGACGGACACATCGAAGGAAAGGCGGGGCGGTGGGCGTGACAGAGCCTCAGAGGGCGGGGGGCCGTTGGGGCCCCCCGCCAGACAGTCCCGCAGTTGGGAGTGGCCCCCGCCCCGCATCTGCCGTTATTAGCTTCTTTTTCGGACTTCGTGGGACACACGCAGACGGACGGACGGACACATCGAAGGAAAGGCGGGGCGGTGGGCGTGACAGAGCCTCAGAGGGCGGGGGGCCGTTGGGGCCCCCCGCCAGACAGTCCCGCAGTTGGGAGTGGCCCCCGCCCCGCATCTGCCATTATTAGCTTCTTTTTCGGACTTCGTGGGACACACGCAGACGGACGGACGGACACATCGAAGGAAAGGCGGGGCGGTGGGCGTGACAGAGCCTCAGAGGGCGGGGGGCCGTTGGGGCCCCCCGCCAGACAGTCTCGCAGTTGGGAGTGGCCCCCGCCCCGCATCTGCCATTATTAGCTTCTTTTTCGGACTTCGTGGGACACACGCAGACGGACGGACGGACACATCGAAGGAAAGGCGGGGCGGTGGGCGTGACAGAGCCTCAGAGGGCGGGGGGCCGTTGGGGCCCCCCGCCAGACAGTCCCGCAGTTGGGAGTGGCCCCCGCCCCGCATCTGCCATTATTAGCTTCTTTTTCGGACTTCGTGGGACACACGCAGACGGACGGACGGACACATCGAAGGAAAGGCGGGGCGGTGGGCGTGACAGAGCCTCAGAGGGCGGGGGGCCGTTGGGGCCCCCCGCCAGACAGTCCCGCAGTTGGGAGTGGCCCCCGCCCCGCATCTGCCGTTATTAGCTTCTTTTTCGGACTTCGTGGGGCACACGCAGACGGACGGACGGACACATCGAAGGAAAGGCGGGGCGGTGGGCGTGACAGAGCCTCAGAGGGCGGGGGGCCGTTGGGGCCCCCCGCCAGACAGTCCCGCAGTTGGGAGTCGCCCCCGCCCCGCATCTGCCGTTACTGGCTTTCTTTTTGGACTTCTTGGGACACACGCAGACGGACGGACGGACACATCGAAGGAAAGGCGGGGCGGTGGGCGTGACAGAGCCTCAGAGGGCGGGGGGCCGTTGGGGCCCCCCGCCAGACAGTCCCGCAGTTGGGAGTGGCCCCCGCCCCGCGTCTGCCGTTATTAGCTTCTTTTTCGGACTTCGTGGGACACACGCAGACGGACGGACGGACACATCGAAGGAAAGGCGGGGCGGTGGGCGTGACAGAGCCTCAGAGGGCGGGGGGCCGTTGGGGCCCCCCCGCCAGACAGTCCCGCAGTTGGGAGTCGCCCCTGCCCCGCGTCTGCCGTTACTGGCTTTCTTTTTGGACTTCTTGGGACACACGCAGACGGACGGACGGACACATCGAAGGAAAGGCGGGGCGGTGGGCGTGACAGAGCCTCAGAGGGCGGGGGGCCGTTGGGGCCCCCCGCCAGACAGTCCCGCAGTTGGGAGTGGCCCCCGCCCCGCGTCTGCTGTTATTAGCTTCTTTTTCGGACTTCGTGGGACACACGCAGACGGACGGACGGACACATCGAAGGAAAGGCGGGGCGGTGGGCGTGACAGAGCCTCAGAGGGCGGGGGGCCGTTGGGGCCCCCCGCCAGACAGTCCCGCAGTTGGGAGTCGCCCCCGCCCCGCGTCTGCCGTTACTGGCTTTCTTTTTGGACTTCTTGGGACACACGCAGACGGACGGACGGACACATCGAAGGAAAGGCGGGGCGGTGGGCGTGACAGAGCCTCAGAGGGCGGGGGGCCGTTGGGGCCCCCCGCCAGACAGTCCCGCAGTTGGGAGTCGCCCCCGCCCCGCGTCTGCCGTTACTGGCTTTCTTTTTGGACTTCTTGGGACACACGCAGACGGACGGACGGACACAACGAAGGAAAGGCGGGGCGGTGGGCGTGACAGAGCCTCAGAGGGCGGGGGGCCGTTGGGGCCCCCCGCCAGACAGTCCCGCAGTTGGGAGTCGCCCCCGCCCCGCGTCTGCTGTTATCAGCTTCCTTTTTGGGTTTCTCTTCTTGGGACACATGCAGACGGACGGACTGACACATAGATGGGGAAGGGCGGGGCGGTGGCGTGATTGGTCTTCAGAAGGCAGGGGGCAATCGGGGTCCCCCGCCAGCCAGGCCCTCAGGTGGGAGTTGCCCCCGCCCCGCGTCTGCCGTTATCAGCTGCCCTTTCGGGCTTCTCCTCCTGGCTTCTTCTCGCTGCCGGGTGGGTGCGCCTGCAGCGGCGGCTCAGCTTCTCGCCGAAGGTCTGTGCAGAGAGGCGGGGTTCCCACGGCAACACACCGGGGTCCCCAGGCTGTCACAAATGCAGCCGAGCCCCTTTTTTCTGTCACGGCTGATTGGAACAGTGGTAATTACAGTAGCGGATAATTTACAAAGTCTTCTCTCTGTTTACAGGATTTAGAGATAAGCATCACAGTACATTCGTTTGAAAGCCTCCAATTATTCCGACGGACATGGATCGATTTGAAAAAAATATGTAGATATAGGCTGGATAGCCATGAAAAAATATTCTATAAACGAAGTTGTAAGTGTACATAAATATAAGAAAAATTAAATTCTAAAATATTTTCTCTATGGTAGTCATCAAATCTTCACTAAAAACTCTGTAATAAAATATCTTCAGGTCCATATAACAAGTATTAACAGATGCAAGATTGTTGAATTCCGAAATGTCTTAGTCTTGCATCACCGGTAGAAGTAGTGTGGGTAAACTGCGAAGGAGAAAGGGCGTCAGGCCGCAGGCCAGCCAACGCCCCAGAGGCCGACCCAACGCCCGGGGGAGGGCGGACCCTGACCGGGCCCCAGCGGGGGACAGGCTAGCGGCCGCAGCCCGAGCTGCCCTCCCCTGCCCTCCCCGCAAGACACGAGCAGACGCCACAGGAGAGCGGGCACGGGGGTTCGGGCACGCGGAGACACGGAGCGCGCGAGCACAGAGCAGACGTGGGCCGCCAGCGCCGACTCACCGATCGGCTGCCTCAACAGGAGTAAGTCCTGACGGCAGCAGGGTCCAGCCTCGGCGCGCCCGGCACGCTGCCTGCTCGACAAGCACAGGGGGCGGGCACACACGGCGTGCGGTTAGTCGTGGGCACACGCATGCCCTCACGCACACGCGCACGCCCACACACGGCACACGCACACACTCACACACGTGCGTGCTCACACACACTCGTGCACGTACGCACGCTCACGCCCACGCGCACCCTGGACACTGCAGGAATTGGTCACCGCATGCAGCTCTGCTCCTTAAACTCCCGGGTGACCGGCAGGCGTGGGCGGGTCCCGAGAGCAGGACCCAGCCCGTAGAGGGCGGAGCTGAAGCCTAGCCACTGGGCGCACGGAGCCTGGGGGACAGGGGTCACTGCTCTCCAGAGGGCTGGGGTGGGCAGTGGCCATCTCAGAACAGTGAAGCCTGGCCCGGGCACCCCATGCTGCTTGGCTGAGAAACACGCGGCGTGGCCCAGTGGCGGGGAGACCTGACACCCCAGGCGGTGCCGAGACTGAAGGGAGGAAGGTCGGGGCCCGAGGGAGGGCACGGGCTGGCCACGCGGGGCGGGAGGGGGCAGGGGGCCAGTGGGGCCACTCAGGGCCGTGGCACCAGGCACTGCGGCCCCCAGAGTGGGGTGTGAGGTCCCCAGGGCCCCGGTGTCCGTGCGCAGAGGATGAGAAAGCAGGGCGCAGGCCGAGGCCGCGGACACAGGCTGGCGAGGGCTCGTGCTAACAGCCGCGGCCTGGCCTTGGGGCTGTGTCGGGGCACGGGCCCAGCTGAGGCCCCTCCCCTGGTTGTCAGGGCACAAAGCCCCTCGAGACACGGGTCCCTCCCACAGGTGTCCAGGGCTTCTCAGCCAGCAGACCAGCATGTGGACAGCGGCACAGAGACCACTGGCGGGCGGGGAGGGACGGGGCCCAGGCTCCATGGGAGGCCCTTCCTCAGGCCCGAGTGTGCAGAGCGGGTGAGCAGGAGACGCGACATCCACAGACGAGGGTGGACAGGAAGCGGGACAGCCACGCGAGGACAGGTGTTAGGGTCTCGAGGACAGCTCACGACACACTGGGGGGGCCGGGCGGACAGGGCCGAGCTGCCCCCGACAGACAGACAGACAGACAGACGTAGGCGCTGCGGCCACCACCTACCATCCAGCTGCATCTTCTTGGGCTGCATGGCAGGAGAGGACAGAGATGGCGCCACCCTAAAGTTAGCAGGGAGGGTCTCCGAGGACCCCACGGCCACGCCCCTCATGTCCTTGGGCCGGAACCTCTTTCTCCACGATGGACCTCTCCGGAAACTCTTCTCCTCCTCCTGGAGGGGCGGCAGAGCAGGGACAGCCTGGGCCGGACAGTCTCCAGCCCCAGCACACACCGCACCCTGGGCCCCGGCCTGGGACGTACTCCCTGCACCCTGCCAGCGAAGGCGCTGGCACTCGTCTGGGCAACCCCCCCCCCAGCACCCGGCTCCCCAGAGAGGAGGGGCCGCCCTGCCAGGTGTCCCCTAGTCTCCGTGGCGCCTCGGAGTGGCGGTTCCCCGATGCTGACACCCTCAGCGTGGCCTGTGCCCACCGGTCAGCCTACCTGAGGCCATCAGAACCCTCGGGCCGAGCACTTACTTCCTCGGACCTCCGGTTGGTCCCCTTGACCAGAAGGTTGTTGAACTCTCTTTCCAGGATTGTGCGGGCCTGAGAGGAAGACGGTCACTCAGCACGGCCGGCCCTGCCCATCTGCCGCTGCCAGGCCTGGGGCCCGGTCAGTGCGGCCAACCCTGCACCTGGCGATCTCTGGGACACGTGCACAAAAGTACGTGGGGCGGGCGAGGGGACCGGCAGAAGGGACAGGGCCAGCCATGTGGACACTCCTCGTTTCCGTGGCCGGGGCCTCACCTGCGTGTTTTGGGTCGGGATCTGTAACAGCAGCGCCAGCGTGTTGAAGTCGAAGCCATCGTCTAAGGCGATGAGGGCGCCGTGGACGCCGCTCTCGGCGAGGTTGTTGGCGTACTCTCGGAGACCGATGGACATGATCCAGCGAATGACCCGCTCGTTGCTCCAGACAAGGACATCTGCGCGTGGACAGACATTACGGGAGGCTCAGGGGTGTGTGTGTGTGCGCATGCTTGTGTGTTACGGGAGGCTCGGGTGAGTGCGTGCATGTGTGCGTGTGTGCGTGTGTGTGTGAGAAAAACGGGAGGCTCAGGGAGGTGTGTGTGCGTGTGTGCAGAGCAAGTCCAGGAGTTAGACATTACGGGAGGCTCGGGTGCATGTGAGTGTGTGTATATTACAGGAAGGTCGTATGTGTGTGTGTCAGTCCAGGACGGCCGAACAAGTCCAGGACGGCCCCCCGAAGCCTGCGCCCGACCCTTCCCCCAGGCAGCCCCCACTGCTGGCCACAGAGCACTGTCCAGGCCTTCAACTGTATGCAAGTGTCCCTCTGAAACCCAGTGTGATGACTCAGAGCAATGAGGCGGGTGCAAGTGAGGACGACTCGGGGGCATGAGGACCCCGGAGAGCCGGGCTGCCCCTGTGCGGGCGTCCCAGGCACTGCCCTGTGCCGGCACCCTCAGCTCAGCCTGGTTCCGGGCACCCTGGGGCAGGCAGGGCTGAGCCATGGGCAGGGCCAAGGCCCGCTCCCCGCACCATCTTCCCTCCAGCCCCGCGGCCTCATTTCAGAGAGAGACAAACACAGATGCTCGGCGGCATTCACGAAAAGCGATGACCGATCAAATTCGGCCTGCGAGTGATCGACACCACTCGGTGAAATGTATCAGGATGACTTTCACTTCCTAGTTATTTTCAAGGTGATTATCACTAGTACTGGATCTCGGAACAAGCCCAGCGCGCTGCTTAGAGCAGAAACGGGACAGAGGCCGCTTCCCGCGGCTGCCTCGGCTCCCGGGAGGGCTCGGTGTGGCCGGATTACCTCAGCTCACCGTCTCCGTTTCCTTTTTCGGTCTGGGGACCACGCCTGGGCGCCCAGCCGTGCAGCCCCTTGCCCACCCCGCTGTATACTTGTAGCTGAGTTTCTTCCCACGGAGACAGAAGTGCCGGCCACCGAGCCACAGCGGGGCGGGAAAGTTCTGGAGCACAGGCTCCACCACCTTGAGAGCAGCCGCTGGCCCCCTGGGACGAGGCCCCCACATCCGTCTGACTTAGGCCTCCGAAACTCACTCAGAGGCTACGGGGCCCCCCGGGGAGATGGACACGCGCCCCCTCCCCCCAGGGACACTGCACTGGCCTTTGACTTCATTCTGGCTCTCCTCTCGCCTCCGTTCCAGCTCTCTCCGGTCATAGTTCAGCCTCCGGAGACACATGATCGCGCACTGGAAGCTGGTTCTGCGGCAGGCAGGAAGCGCAGGGCGTCAGGGGCGGCCACCGCGGGCAAGCCCCGGGTCCCCGTGGCGTGGAGTGGCGCGGCGCGGCCCCGCTCACCGGTGGGCGCTGTCCACCATCTTCAGCTGGCCCCGCAGGTCTTTCTTGGTCAGGTGGTCCAACATGCGGGCGTCCACCAGGCACTCCATGAAGTAGCTGCGGTACTGGGGGAGCCCCAGGCTGGGCAGCCACTCGTTGCCAATCCACTCGTGGTTCATGTCCCCATAGGCCAGGGTCTGCATGCAAGGACACACGGTCGGCCCCGGGGAGACCGCGGGGAGGCCCCAGGGCCCAGCCTCGGCGGAAGGGAGTGACCCGACGGGAGCGCGCGGTCACCCAATCTCCGAACCTCGCCGCCTCGTACATCGGTCGGTGACACCTCTTGGGTTGTTCTCTGGAGCCCACCCAACGGCATTCGGGGACCACGCGGGATGGGGGCAGCCGCTCACAAGGCAAGTGCCTCACCCGCCCAAGCACTGCTCTGAGTGGCCCCCGGCACGGGACTGACGGAGCTCAGAGCGGCAAAGAATGACCATGACTCAGGAACAAGTCTGAAGGGGCGTCCCGCCTGCGGGCCAGGGGCAGGCCTGGAGCTGCAGTTCTACTTTATCTAAGTATATTTAAATGTGACTGTTCGTATTCGCTTCTTTTTTGTATCAGCAAACTTCCCATTTTCCGTGAGGAAACACCGCAGATTCACAAGGTTGACAGAAGCCAAAGAAACAACCATTTCCAAAGGAGAGAACAGTCGGCACCCCCTTCAGGCGGGGGCAAGCCCTGCAATTCGGGCCTCCGTCCCAGGGCAGCTCCGAACCCTGGGAACAGTCACTGTTCAGGTTGTGGACAAAGACACTCTCTTAGTAAGCGAAGAATCTCCCTACACACCCAGACAACCTCAAAAAGAACCCACGAGACGGACAGCAGACGGGAGCAGGAACCAGTGGAACAGCGCGGCCAAGGGCTCGTCTCGTTTAGTGTCTGGGGTCCTGGGCAGCCGTGCTCGGGGGCTGCTCCCTCGTGGTGTGTGGCAGGGAACCCGGCCTGCTGCAGGCAGAGCAGGTGCTAGCCACTGAGCCATCTCTCTGGCCCCCCAGACCACGAAAATAACAGAAAATTTTGAAAAGGGAAAAAAAAAATCCAGTTCTTCAGAAACAGTTTCACAACTCAACAGCCCCTGGCAGAACGCTCGAGGACGGAAAGCCGGAACTGACCACTGGTGCCAAAAGGCGACAGGGATGGCGACAGACAGCGGCCCCCTGGCACGACACGGTGCGTTTCCAGAGAGGCCGCGCAGTGGGGAACACGGAGGGTCTATCCCAGCCCGATCCACACTTGAGTCTCACACTCAATCTCACTCTGAGTCCTACTCGAATCTGTGTGCGGGAGACACCGATCACGGAAGTTTCCCGACAGCCAGGACCTGAGCACGGTCCTGGGCAGGCACCAAGGGCAGGACGACACGAGAGAGGAGGCCGCGGACAGGGACTCTCCAGACAAGGTCGGCAAAGCACGACGACAGAAGACAGGACGCACAAGAATGTCTCTCCTGGGAACTCACCCGGCCGGGGCCTCCACAAACCACCAACCCGGATGCCAACGGGCCGAGAGGGGAAGTGCAGCAGGTGCGGCCGGGGTCCGACTCGGGACATGGATGCGGCCAGGCTCTGCAGGGCCCCTCGCGCTCACTCACGGAAACCTCAGCCACGCGGGAGCCCGGGGACAGGCGCACGGTGCCCGTCGCTCTGAGACGGGGGCCCTGAAGGCCCTGCGCGGGCCTCTGGCCACTCACTGTGCGCTGACCCGCCAGGGAAACAGGAGCCCGGGAGCCGGGAGGAAATTGGAGCTCCGTGGGTGGCCTCGCGGTCTGCATGGACACAGACCTGCAGGCTCTCGGGAGCAAGGGCGTGGAGGAGGCGGCAGAGCCCCGGGCCTGTACAGAAAGGGGTCCCCGAGGCGGCAGCCCGCCCCGCGCCCCCCGGGGACCAAGCTCCCTTCACCATCTGCGTGGGCGTCGGTGCGTGTCCGGGAACGCCCGGGCACACCTGCCTCCCTGCGCACCCTCCCGAGGCCCGCCGGGCCAGCTGGCCGGAAGCAGACGAGTCTCACGGCCGCACCTGGGACGCTCCTCAGGACAGCAGGTGGCAGAGGGACGTGACGGAAGCCGAGCCCTCCCCCTCCTCGCCGCCCACCCGGCCCCGGTCTTGGCAGAGCCTCGGCAGCCTCAAGTCTGGGGCTGGCGGCCACCCCTTCAGTGTCCTCCCTAGGCCTTGCCCCTCCAGTCGCCCTCGCAGGTCCCAGCTCCCGCCGAGGGGGGACTGGCAACCCCGGGGCACCAGCCACCGGTGGCCTCATCCTGCCTGGTGCCTCTGTGGCGGCCAGACCCTAGAAAGCTGCTTTTTCTGGGTTTCACTTTTTTTTTGGGGGGGGGGCTTAGGCCAGGCCATACCTGGCTCTGCACTCAGGATCACCCCTGGTGGGTTCAGGGGCGCAGGCCGACACCCTCCCTGCTGACCTATGCTCCGGCCCCCCCCGACCCTCACGCCTGGCCTCGGGAACAGTGACGGGCCGGGCCCTGACTTCCTCCGCAAGGGCAGAGGGCAGAGGCCGTCCGGGACCAGTCACAGCCACGCTCCCTTCGAACGAGAGGGGGCCACGGGGCTGGCTTCACTCTAGCAGTCCAACTTAAAAAACCCTGCTTCTTCCATCAGCCTGGGCTGTTCTCTTCACTTTGGACCCTCTGGAGGTGCTCAGGGCGGGGTGTGGGCCTGACAGCGCTGGGGATAGACACGGGCCTGAGCTGGCCACCCGCCCCAGCGCTGACCGGCTGTGATGCAGAGGTGCGTGCAGGCCTGTCTGTGCCGCGCTGTCCCTTGGGCTTAGAGACGCAGCCCGGGTCCCAAGTCCCTGTGGGGCCACTGCAGTCGAGTACTGAGAGCGTGTGTGTGTGAGTGTGTGTGTGTATGTGCGTGCGCGCGCGTGCGTGTACGTACTGGATGGGGGGCCTGGAGTGAGTGGGAGCGCCCAGAGCCAGCCCTAAGGGAGCCCCACCTGCAGGACACAGGAAGCGCATCTGAATCTGCTTTTCCCACTGGCAGACCCGTGCCCCAGCCCCAAGGTCGGTTACCCTCAGGGGACTCAAACGCCTCTCTCAGATGCTGCCCACGCCGGAGCCCTACACCCACCGGGGTCACCGCCAGGGGCCAGTGAACTCGCGTGGAAGCAGCAAGTCACGTGGCAATGGGAAAAGGTTCTGAGCATGCAGCGATTAACAAGTGGGTCCCAAAATCGAATGCCCCGGGGCCCTCCTCGGGCAGATTCGCAAGCGGAAGGCGCTTCAGGACGCCCTGGCTGAGCCCCAGGCCGCGGGCAACAAAGCGTTAGTTCAAGTGCAAGCTCTGTGGCGCCATACCAGGAACAACGTTCAAGACTGTCCCAGAGGCGTGCTCTCGGCCCCTCGGCCCCACCCCAGCCGGAGTTAGAAGCGACACCCGACAACGCCCTGAGCGAAGAGTTAGAAAGTCAAGAAAAGGCAATTACGAGTCTCCATCCTCCCAACGCTCTTTGTGGCTGTACATATGAAGGGTTATAGAGAGTCTCCAACCTGAGCCCAGCTTCCCTCCTCATCTTCCTGATGTTACGTGGTCAGGGATGCAAGAGAACACAACTATTAGTATCGGGCGCTGGAGGCGGGGTGAGTGTGCGGGGGGGGGGGGGGGCGCGGGAGCGAGCCCGTCCCGGGGGCCAGGCAGCATGCGGCTCATGCGGCACCCACCCGCCATGCACAGCGCCCCATGCCAAGCCCGTCGCGCCCCTCAGCGCCCCCAGCACCCCCCAGCCTCCCAGGGCGTCCGGCTCCCACGTCTGACAGCTGCCCCCCGCGCTGCGTCCCGGGGGTACGGGGGTCGGGGGCGCCACAGGGCCGAGCAGGGACCCTACTTCACACATTAGCTCAGCTGGTACCGAGGACACACTTATGGGGCAAGTCAGCCGACAGGGACAGTCTCGGTTTTAACCAAGGCCCGCAGTGGTGGACGGGCGGGCGGGAGAAGCGGGCGAGCCGGGGCCGGCACTGACCGTGTGAGGCGTGGCTGCGAGCGTTTCCATCTCTTCGTGTGTTAACCAGACATTTCCCGTGCTCTGGGGAGACCCAGTGACCAAGCACGTCCAGGGAAGCAGGGACAAAGAGGACAGGCGGCAGAAGCGTGAGCCTTGGGCCGTGGAGTGGCACAGGGCTGGGCACCCCACCTCCACGCACACGCGCACACGTACACACACGCATCCACACAGGTACACACACGAGGACGCCTCCGACGGAGTCCTGCGGCCCGGAGTGCCTGCACGGCAGTGCCCAGCCCCAGTGCTCCTGAGCCCGGGCCTCAGTGCAGAGCAGGGAGCGCTGTGCCCCTGGAGACCCTCGCGTGCGCCCAGGAGGGCAGCGGGGACAGTGGGCGGGCGGCGCTGTCCCTGGGATTCTCACCTGTGGGCGGGCCAGGACATCACTCCTGCCGGGCGGGTGCCCGCCACGCGTGAGCCCCCGGTCCCGGCCCTACGCGGCTGCCCTGACTGAGACTTCTAGAAAGCCCCCCAGCCCTGCCCCCGAGTGGGGAACGGGGAGCAGGCGCAGAGCAGGGGGAGGACGCCGGGACTCAGGGGACGCGGCAGGGGAGGGGGTCGTGGCGCTCAGCGAGGACCGCCCCAGCCCAGGCCTCGGCCCCGGGACCAGCCGCACAGGCCCGGGGGCTGGGGGACTCAGGGAGCGACGAGACCCTCCGCGAGGCCTCCCCGTGTGTCCCTGGGCGCACGGCACCGCCAGCCGCCCGCGCGGGACTCCCCGATTCCCACACTGCAGAGCGGACGCAGCCCGTGAGGGGGCCCCTGCCCCGGTGCCCGCGGGGGTGGCGGCGGGCGGGCCCTACCGTCCTGGAGGTCGGCGGGGCGGAGGGGCTGGTCAGCGACATGATCTCCTGGATGGCCAGGCGCAGCTTCAGCCGGTGCAGCGGGTTGCTGATGCCGATCTCACGCTGGATCTCCGTGTCCGACAGGGCCGACATGATGGCGCCGCTCTTCACGTTGGCACGGCAGGCCGCCACGTACCACGCCGGCATCCCCACCCAGAGCTGCGGGGAGACGAGAGGCTCAGGGCCCGGGCCGGGGCGGGCGGGGGGTGGGCGGGGGTCCCGGCCGGCGGCAGCACGTACCTCCAGCCACACCACCACGGTGGGCCCGTCCCACTGCGCGAAGGGCAGCCCCTGCCTGCGGGCCTCCTCCAACAGCTGGTGCCTGCGGACAGACGCGTGGTCGGTCAGCGTCCCCAGGGCCCGGGGGCACCCCCATCCGGCTGCCTCGCAGGGGCTCCCCAGCCCTGGCTCGTGGCAGGGAAGAGGACGGCACCCCGGAGACACCCCGCCCACCCGCCGCCCTTTCTGTTCTGCCCGAGGAGCCCGGCTGGGGCAGCGCCGGACCCTCTGGACGGCCACGCGCTCGCACAGCGACGCCCGCCTCTGCGGCAGGAGCCCCGGGCCCACCGGCACGGTCCGACCGCCTCGCTGTGGGTGGAGCACAGAGACGGCCCCGGCTCAGGGTCCAGAAAGACTCCGAATGACCACAGGACTCCGGGACTGCCCTCAGTGTGGGAGTGCCCACCCAGTAAGGGTCGTGGCCGGGGACCACACCCACCAGTGCTCAGGGGTCACGCCTGGTGGAGTTTTGGGTGCGGGAAGTCAAACCCAGACTGGCGACACGCAAGGCCAGGCCCTCACCCACCGGGCTCTCTGTCCAGCCCTGGAGGGAGGGGAGGTCAGTGCCGAGAGCCCCGGCTGGGGGCCCAGTCTGCCCCGGGGCTGCTGGGTTCCCTGCGCTGCGGAGAACCAGGAGCTAAGCTCTCTCTCGGCCTTTGCCAGGCAACACAGTTTCCTTCTTCACTTTGGGACTCTGCCTGGCGGCGCCAGGGGTCAAACCTGGGACCCTGAGCAGACCCCGGTCCTCGGAGCATCTCCCAGGCCGCGTCTGGACACTGACTGCTACAAACGGGATCCGCTGCCCGCGTCCGCCAAAACCACCGCCTCGCTGGACGCCCACGTGCCCCGCTGGCCCTCCTGTCCGGCCACGGGGTGACTGAGAGGGTCAGGCCAGTGCGATGCGCAGGGGCCACTCCCAGGCCGCCGGAACCGCACCTGCACCTCCTCCTGCTCCCAGTGACCACTCCCGGCAGGGCCAGTGCTCACCCCAGCCAGGGAGAGCGGTGACGGGGCAGGAGTGGTCAGTTGCGGGGTCAGCTCGGGGCCCGGACCCCCTCCTCCAGCCCAGCCCAGATGGGAGATCTCTGGGTAAGTCAGACTTAATGAAAAGAAAACACTTCTGCAAGAAGTGCACTTGGACTCTCCCGACGCCAGGAGTCCCAGCTGGGTGCCAGCATTTTTCTGGCTAGCTTGAACCTTTTTCCACAGTTACAAGGAAAGCGCTTCTCTTAGAGTCGACTTTTATCGCGGGGTCAGGGCCGAGACAGAAATCACCCACCGAGGTCACGGGAACCCTCTGCACTCGGGCCTTTTTCCTCACTAACTTCCCGGGACATTCCAAAACCCACGCACACAGCCGGCAAGCACGAGGAGACGCCTGGCTGCCCGGCTCTGTCACGGGCCCGGCCTGGGGAAGGCAGCTGAGCTCAGGCACAGCCGCCCACGCACATGGCCCCGGGCTGGAGCCACAGCACAGCGGGGAGGGCACCGGCCTTGCAGGCGGCCGACTCGGGTTCGATCCCGGCGTCCCCTAGGGTCCCCCGAGCCCCACCAGGAGCACGTCCTGAGCATGGCTGAGTCTGGCTCCCTCTGGCGGCTGCGGCTCTGGGTTGGTTACGAGCACGACGGCCCCCTGCACCGTTTCGGGAGGGGCAGCTCCTCCCCGCTCGGGACTGCCAGCAAGCACGCAGCCGCCAGTGACCACGCCCGGCCGCGCGCCAAGGCTGCTCTCGGCGCCCACGCGCCACCCTCCCGGCTCCCACTCTGCCTGGGCACGGGCAGTCACGCACAGCCGGGCCGGGTCCCACGGACCCAGGGAGGCGCTGCACCACAGCACAAAAGGGTGGGCGCCAGGGGCCGAGTCGGACTGGCCGTGCCCGGGTGTGACCCCCTGCCTCGCCGCACCACCGTCCGGTCAGCGAGTGCCGCGGTCCTCAGACACCCACCAGGAGAAAATCGAGCAGGAAAACTTACTTTTTCTGGAGTTTGCGATTCTTTTCTGCCTGTCCTCCAAATCTGCCGAGCGCTAAGGCCTCCGGAGATAAATTTTCCGTCTCTACGGCGCCAGCTACAGGGAAGCGGGCGGCCCCCAAACGAAGAGCAAAGAAGAGTCGGTCAGGCCCGGCCCCCACCACGTCCGGGGACCCCCTGCCCTGCCGGCGCGGCCAGGCCCCACCTTGTCCCGCGGACTCCCTGCCGGCGTGGCCGGGCCGGCCCTTCTCCTTCTTGCCGAACAGGCGGCCGATAGAGGACTTGATGCCCTTCTTCTTGGGGGCCTTGTGCAGCGAGTCCTGGCTGCTGTTGCTGCTGCTGGGATTGCTCACGGGGCCGTCCTGGGAGCCTGTAGAGCTGCGGACACGGGGGTCTCACAGGCGCCCAGGGCTCCCCTCCCCCCGGGGCACGCCCCCGACCCCCACCCAGGCCCCCTCTCAGAGGCTCTCCAGAGCGGGGTGGAGGCTCCCGGCCGGTCCCGGCACTCACTTGCGCAGCTCCTGCAGCTCCTCGTGGCTGACTGTGAGCACCGCGCCTCTGTGCAGTCGGTCGGGGCGCGGGGCGCGCGGGGAGGGCGGGGGCGAGGTTTCACATTTTATGGTCGTCTTGTCATCCAGGACCTCATCCCGAGGGGCTGGCGGCTGCGGGGCAGAGAGAAGCGTCAGGCGGATGGGGCCGGGGCCGTCTCATGGCACACGCCGGCACGGCATGTCTGATAGGCTATGTACGGTCCCCGGAAGCTCCCCGGTGAGGCTGGCTCCGGCCCCCACTGCTCAGCGCCACCCTCCCGCGGGCTTGGCCCGGGTTCCCGGCGACCGTCTGCAGGAAGACTCAGAGGACCCGGGTGACAGTGTGCGGGGTTCCAGGGAGAGGGTCTCTGCTGCCGGGGACCCTGCTTGCGAGCATGGGTGGGAAGGGCCCCACTGCAGACCACGGGGCTGGGCACATGCGGGGGGCCAGAACCGAGCAGACCCTTCGGGCCATTGCCCACGACCCCACCTCACAGCAGGGGGGGGCCGGTCACCGAGACCAGACCCTGGACTGAGCCTGCCGGTAAGAACAGCATGAGGGCACAGGATGCCGGCCGCAGCCTTGCCGTCGGGTGTGTGTGGGGGGGGGAGGCCCGGCACCACAGCTAACAAGCTGCTTCCTTCGGGGGTGCAGGGGTGCACCTGGCCCCAAGGGGACGCAGAGCTTGTTGGGAGCGCGCCTGACCCCAAGGGGAGGCAGGGATTGTCGGGAGCGCGCCTGACCCAGTGGAGACACAGAGCCTGCCGGAGGGCGCCTGCCCCCATGGGGACGCAGAGCAGCGGGGGAGGGGCAGGGGCCCCGCAGACCCGAGCGCAGGGGAGGAAGAGGCAGCTCCAGAGACCCCCAGGCTGGGGGTGGGTCAGCAGCGGTGCCCCAGGCCTCTCTGCTGACCAAGACGCTCCCCTCCTGGCGTGACCGTATCAGGCGCGGGCGACACCGGCCCACAGGCACCCGGGTCCCGTGTGTGCCGCGAACTCGGGTCGTGAAAAAGGGTCTATCCAGAGGCGCGACTGCAGCTCCGCTCCGGCTGCGTCCGGCACAGCCCCACGGGCACCCAGACGCCCGCCCCCGCTCACGGCCAGACAAGCGCCGGCCACACACGCGCCAGGACAGGCCCTCGGGGTCCCGCGGGGGGCGAGTGGAGAGTTTACCTTTCTACGGTGCTTCCGTAGGTCGCTAGGCTGACGGCGTGCAAGGAAAGGAGAGAAGCCGGGTTTACGCACACGTGGCAGTTAGAAACCCGAGGGCCAGACAGGCAGAGGCGTGAGCAAGAGGACAATTCGGGGAGTGTCACCAGAGCACCAGTCCCCGGGACCAAGGGCGGACGCGGAGGACACTGAAAGGTGACTGGGGGTCGGGGCTAAGGCGGCGTCTCCGGCCCCTCGGCACAGTCTGCTCTGTTCCCCGCTGGCTGAGACGCAACCACCAGCCTCACCCGGAAACGGTCCCGGGAAACCCTTCCTAGGACCGGACTGGAAAGCTGCCCCAGAGGAACGAAACTGTTTCTGGAGATTCCGTGAGACAAGGACGACGGGGGCAGGGGGCCAGCACACGACTGGCTGGAGCGGCCTGCAGCCCCGCCCAAACGCCCCTCGAGAGCCTGCCTGGCTGAGCGCATCGGGGGCTGGCCGGCGGGGGTGCCGTCTAGTCCGTGCTTCTTGGGCCACACCTGGCGGTACTCAGGCTCCGTGCTCAGGAGTTACTCCTGGTGGGGCTTGGGGGACCGAGCCCGGGTGGGCTGTGTGCAGACAGCGGAGTCTATTTCCGCACGCCACTTCGAACGGGAACCGAGACCTTGACTGATCGGAACGTGGGCCCAGAGGGAGGGAAGAGCGCCCTGGAAGGACACTCGCAGCCGCCACTAGGGCCGCGCCCTCCCCACAGTGACGCCGGGCGACAGAGAAGGCTAGCACGTTGGACCCATGACCCGACTGGCAGCTCTCCAGCGCGGCCCCAGAAGGCCCCCTTGTCGCAGGGCAGCGAGCAGGGCGTTCGCCTCGGACGTGCCCGACCCAGGCTGGCCCTCCGGCTCCACTTAGGCTCCCCGGTGCCTCGCCCATGGGGCAGCCCCCGCAAAGCAGACGAGGAAAGGTCGATGACGAACTTCCTTGTCACTCCCTGGGCCGGGCTGAATGACCGAACGGCAGCTGGAATTCAAGTTCCTGACACCCCCAGCGTGACCGCCACAGCATGCGTGTGTGTGTTCACATGTACGTGTGCGCATGTGTGTTTGTGTACGTGCAGGCACACACGCTGGAGACGGCACAGGCACTCACCGGCACGTGCTGCCTGCGTGTTCGTGTGCACGTTTGCGTGCATGTTCCCATGTGTTCACACACGTTTGTGTGTGTTTACTCATGCGTGCTTTTGCTTGTGCACACGTTTATGCTCACGTGTTCATGTATGTTTTTGTGCGTGCGTGCACTTGTTTGCATATGCGCATGTTCACACACACATGCCAGCACTCACCAGCACTTGCACGTATGTCTGCGTGCATGTTTGCATGTATCTGCACGTGTGTTCGTGTGTGTGCATGTTCACGTGTGTGTGTACGCACGCGCCAGCGGCCAGCGGTGGGCACTCACCAGGGTCATGATGCTGAGCCTGTCCACCTCGCAGGCCGGGCTGTGTGGGATCCGCCGGGGCGTGGAGCGGCCGCTGTTGGGCGGGGAGGACCCGGCCACGGAGGCAGGGTGGGGCGGGATGGAGCTCATGGACCTGTAACGGCCGAGGTTGTCCAGGCTCCCGCTGCCCACGCGGCTCTCAATCTCCTCGGCCCGCTGCTCCGTGCTCTCCTTCTCCTCCTGTATCAACCTAAAACCGCAGACGGGGCATCCCTCCATCAGCGGACACGAAAGCAGTTCTAGAAACTTCTGCACGTGCGGGCCAGGTGCAGAAATGTCAAAGCACGCGCCTGGCCTGGCAGACACCCGGCGGGGTCTGCGTGGACACACCCCAATCCCTCAGGCTGCAGCCCTGAAGGTCCCAGACCTGGTGACGAAGCATCAGAGCTCCACACAGGACGCCCGAGAGGCTGAGATCTGTCAACTCAGGCCGGGCAAGGGCTGGCCCGGGACAGGCCAAGTGCGGCCCTGGGGGCCCAGCCCAGCGGGAGCACTCAGACTCACGGCCAAGAACCAGGGTGTGGGTCACGGTGCCACAGGAAATGCCTGCGGGCCTTCGGGACGCCCAGGCTGGTCTCGGGCCCTGGGCTGTGGCGGGCAGGCCTGGGGGGCAGGCACGGCACCCCGCCACTCGCAGGCCCAGCACTGAGTGCCAAGGGCCCTGCGCCTGCACCGGCATCTCCTCCTGGTCCCCCGGGATGGCGCTGCCCTCGAGCTGGCCCCTCGTCACCTCCTGCCCCTGTGCCAGCCCCTGGCCCCGACAGGCACCTGATCTCTTGGTTGATGGCGTCTAGCTGCTCCTGCAGCATGATGGCCAGCGTCTGGGCGTCAGCCTGCCCGCTGGGCGACAGCAGTGCCGCGGAGCTGAGGAGCGTGTCTCTGTTGTCCTCTCCGTTGGACACGTCCATGTCACTCTCAAAGGCCTGGGCCACGTTCGCCAGGACACTCGCCTGCTGGGCCCGCTCCCAGTCCTGTTCGTTCAGCGTCTGCACCTAAGGGAGGGGCCAGGTCAGCGAGGGTGGGGGGCACGGGGCGCACGACAGACCTGGGCCGATCCCTGGCACTCTGGGTGGACCCCAGAACCTGCCAGGAGTAAGCCCTGACCCGCCAGTGTGACCCCCCAAAGTAAACTAAACTCAAAGACGGGGCAGAGCAGCACAGGCTGGCTCCTGGAAGGGAGCGGGGGGGCAGGGAGCCTCCCAGGGACCTCCTGCAGCCCCTCCCCAAGTCCTCGCCCCCCACCCGGACCCCCAGGGGTGGCCCAGCCCCCCACAGCTGCCATGCCCTCTCAGCCAAGCCCTGCCACCCGGCTTCTCCTGGGTCCTGCAGCCAGACCCAACTGCCCCCGACACTCCGGCTCTGAGAGGCCTCTGCGGGCCAGGGGTGCCCACAGCCTCGCAGCCCTCCCGCCGCTCAAGCCCTGAGGCCCCCGCTCTCACCCCCCGGCCCAGCTGCCGCCGCCTGTGGAGGCTTCCGTCCTCCCCACCGCCACCTCCCACTGGCAATGCTTGGTGAGCAGGGCAGGCCGTGCCCAGAAATGCCCAGGGTGGGGTGTTCCAAGGCCCCCCGGCCTGGGTTCCCAGCTGGTCCCCAAGAAGAGAGGTGACTGGGAGCTGCCCGGCTGTCACGTGGCCAAGTACAAGGACGCGAAGAGACCCCGTCCAGGCGCTCGCGGGTGGGGGACCCTGGATCTGCCCAACCCCAAACGCAGGCCCTGAGCACGCGCACAGAAGAGCAGCAGAGGGAAGGGAGGGCTGCATGTGTGCACACACGCACGCACACACACACACACACACACACACACTTAACTGCAACTCAGGGCAAGGGCAGTGGGGGGGCGACAGGGGCGGGGCAGGGGCCCTTGCCTTTGAAGGCTCGTCCCGCAGGGCTGCCAGTCGGCCCTTCTGGGGCCGCCGCAACACGGCGCCGCTGCTGTAGGTGTCTGCAGGGCCGTCTGCCATGGGCAGCCGAAAGTCAGGAACGCTGCCCAGGTGTGGTCGGCTGCAACGGGAGAGAGAAGGTTACCTGGCGGACGCGGAGGGATGCAGAGCAAGGCCTGGCCGGGCCCCTGCTCGGGTCCCCCACGACAGCAGCCTGCTGGCAGCCTGGAGCCCCAAAAGGCCAGAGCAGCCCCCAATCCCCACGTGACCCAGGGAGTGGACAGCAGCCCTCCTGGCCAGCCCAGCCCGGTCTCCCTAGGCATGCCCCCATCTGTTTCGGTAATTTCCACCGTGTGCATCTCATGGCCCCCCACACCCTACAATCGCAGGCTGAGGCTGGGGAGGCGGACGTGCTGTGAGCCCAGAGCTCCACATGCAGCTGCACAGAGCACAGCAGACGATGCCTGCACGTGTGTGTGTGTGTGTGTGTGTGTGTGTGTGTGTGTGTTTACGTGCGTGCGGGCACACGAGCACGGAGTGCTCAATGACAGAGACCAGTGCGGATCCCGCGGGCCTCAAGGGCCCGGAGCAGGGGACACAGCACCTCTGCGGTCTCACGGGCCACGGCAGGGTCCACTCCCCCAGCGGGCACTGTGCTGCCCCATCCTAACTCATCCATTCTGGGCGCGGCCCACAGCCACTCGGGCCTCCCCCTGCCCAGAGTCCAGACACGAGCCCGGTTTCCCCACGTGTCCTCAGCCCTGGCCTCCCGTCCCCACAGCTGCCAACACCGCCAGGCTCTCTGGAGTCCTGATGAGCCCAGACCCCTGGGCCGGGCCGCACCCGTGGTGGAGGGAAGCGCTTCGGAGCCGCGTCTGCTCCAGCTCGGTCTGGAGGGTCTCCACGCTGAGCAGCAGCTGGTCCTGCAGCAACGACACGGGCGCCGCGTCACCCCGGGCGAGTGCCCGACGCCGGGCCCTGAGGACAGCGGACCCGGGACAGGGAAAGTGACGTCCTCACGCGGGGATCCCGGGTAGAGGCACCAAGGCATGAAGAGCAACGGGCCGGGGGCGCACACACGCTCACACACACGTGCCACTTGGGGGTCCCAGGGCGTCCCTGTCCTGTCTTACGCCTGCTCGTCTCTCTCGCTCACTCAACTACCCCCACACCAATCAACCGTCCGGAAGGTGCCGGCAACAGCCTGGGATGGCCCTGACCGTCGGGGGCCGCGCCCCAAGATTCCCAGGATGAGAGCAACAGGAAGTGGTCGTGAATCTGCTTTGGTTTTGGGTCACACCCAGGGATACTCAGGGGTCGCTCCTGGCTCTGCACTCAGGAATCACTCCCGGTGATGCTTGGGGGACCCTGTGGGATGTCAGGGGCTGAACCCGGGTCGGCCGTGTGCGATGCAAACACCCTCCCCCACTGGGCTGTCTCTCCAGCCCCCCAACCCGTTCTTTTGTATATCAATTACATAAGAAAGTAAGGTTTGGAGTGAAGCAACGTTGAATTTGACCTTTTGGTTCTAGGTTTGGGGCCACACCCAGCAGTGCTCAGGGCTGACTCCTGGCTCTGCACTCGGGGGACCCTCCGGGGTGCCGGGGCCGGCCCCGGGTGGGCTGCGTGAAAAGCGAGCCCCTCCCTGCCATGCCTCTGCTCCGGCCCCGTTCGTGTCTTTGGATGCTCAGAGCAGTCTGTGCCTCCCTCTGCTGGGGTCGCTGTCCCCGGCAGCTCCCGGTGGCCAGGCGCCCCCACCCAAGCAGCTCACAGCGACACGGAGGGGGCACTGGCACGCGGCTGACCGCGGCGGACTCAAGTACCTTCTCGTGCTGCGTTTCTTCCAATTGTTTTTTCACACATTCCACTTCTCGCAATAGAGAATTCTGAAAGAGACAGAACAGCCTCATCAGCGGCCTGGGACACGCCGGCTAAGGGGAATGTTCCGGTTCCAGGAAGCAGAGCGAGGTGGGGGCATGCGGGTGAAGGCGGGCACGCAGGGTCCCAAGGACCCGCACAGCCATCAGTCCGTGTGACCCAAGCTTATTTCCCATCAGCTTTCTTTTTTCCTGTGGGTGGGTTGGGGGCTACACCCAGCATTCAGCCCTGGGCTGTCCCTCTAGCCCTGTGGCTATTTAGTGTCTGTTTTGTCTTCAGGCCACTGGCTGCTCAGGGAGCCCCTAGGCAGTGCTGGGGGGGCCATCTGTGCTAGCTCCAGCTGATACCAGGGGTTGGTCTGGGAGCTGCCCTCGGCCGCAGGGCACCCCCGACGTCACCACGTCTGAGCACTCCCAGAGCAGGGTCTGAGCACGCCAGGGCGCGGCCAGGCAGGAGCAGCCCCGTGGGAGCCGTGTGCAAAGACGACGGTGTCTCCCTCCTCCTGGGGTCACACCTGGCGGCGCTTCAAGGACCCTGAAGTGGCAGGATGGAGTCGGCACTGGGAGGCCCGTGCACGACAGCCTTCCCCGGCCCCAGCCTCCAAGAGCGCGAGGAGGACATCTGGGAGTGTCCTCAGGCGGACGAAAGCCTCGCGGACCCTCGGGGCAGGAACCAGCCTCCAGTGAGGCGCCCCTGGTGCTGCCCACTCAGCGTCGGGCTCAGGCCTGACCCCCACAGGCCCCGGGACCCTGACGGCAGCCGCTCCGGCCCTACCTTCTCCTCCAGAGAGGCCATCCGCTCCTTCAGGTGCAGCTGCAGCCTCTCATTGGACTCGGACAGCAGCCTGTCCACGGTGTCCGACAGGCGCTTGTTATGCTCTTCGTTCATTTTCTCCCTCTGCCTGGCCTGACGGGGGAGAAACACAACTCACAGCCGTCAGGGAAAGAGGGGCGCGGACGCCCGGGCCCCCGCCCGCAGCGCCCCGGCACACGGCCCCGCACGGCAGCCCGGGGACCGCTTCTCAGCGCCGCGCACGTGACACCCGGACATCTCCGCAGGCCAGAGCTGACCCGTGGCCGGCGGGCGCTGGCCAGGGCCCGGCCTCAGGCGTCTCAGGAATGTCTGCACCCGCCAGGGAGGGAGTCGGCAGACGCAGGAAGGAATCTGGCGCAGGGGGACGGACTCGTAGGAGGAATCTGGCCAGAGGCACGGGCTTATGGAAGGGATCTGGACTCCAGAAGAAATCTGGACTCCGAGAAGGTAATCTGCACTTGTAGAAGGGATCTGGACTTAAAGGAATCCGGACTCATAGAAGGAATCTGGCGCAGAGCGACGGACCTATCTAGGTGCTGCAAGAATTTCGGGTGTGTCAACAAGAAGCCTGGCTCTGCGTTCAGTGGCGGAGACTGATGCCAGCTACGAAGCAAGGTACAATTTTACTCTGGAAACGAAGTCGCAGCGGCTTATTCTGGTGTGTGTGACCTTTGTGAAAAGGAAGCTCGTGTAAAAATGGTCACGTGTGATCACCTCAGGGGGTTTTATCACGTAGCGGTTTGGGGGTTGGAGGGGGCCACCTCTGGCAATGCTCAGGGCTGACTCCTGGCCCTTGCTCGGGGAACGCCATGCGGCGCCAGGGGTTAAGCCGGGGTCAGCCGCTTCCTTCGCCCCAGTCCTAGCTCTCGGGCCCTTCTTGTCTGGCTCTGAGGCGGGGACTGGCGGGCCGCGCTTGGGGTGCTGAGGGGCCGCGGGGGTGGGGGTGGGGGTGGGGTAAACCCTCACCACTCAGAGTCCTGGCTCCCGCCCCAAAGTAATTTTAAAGTGCAAGATCGCAAAGCCACCGGGCGGTCACGTTAACTGAACTCCCCTCAATTTCCTACTGGAAACTGCTTGTGTTCCCAGTCCCGAGCCGAAGGGGTCCCCGGCGCCACCTGAGCTGGATGGCACTGCCCAGGGGCCCAGGTGGAGCTGGCCCCTTCTCGAAGGTCCTCGTAAAGACACCACATGGCGCTTGGCGACCCCTCCCGGAGACCCAGCAGCCCACACGGCGACCGTGCCAATCGTCGGGAGCGTCTGAAGCCCAACAGGCGGGTTCTGAACGGATCAAGGCCACATCTTCAGCGCCCCCCACCCCGGTACCTCTTCTGCAAGCCAGGAAGTGCACCCCAAAGGCGAGGCCGGGAGGCAGGGCCAGGACTCATGCTAGCGGCCAGGTCTGGACGGCCGGGGCTGGACTGATGTCACGGGCAGGCCGCCAGCCCGGCCCGGCTGCGGGCCACCCTTCCCTGGCTGTTATGCACCCACCGGGGCCCTGCGCTCTCCGGGAAGAGACCGAGCGCGATCCAACAGCCGGCGACCCAAGCGGCCCCCCGCCCGGACACGCACCCGCTGCAGCTCCTGGTTCTTCTCCTCCAGCTGCGCCTCCATCTGCCGCAGCCGCTCCTCGATGTTCCCATGCCTCTCCTCCGCCTGCCGAGAGCGCAGCGTGAGCGGCCCGCGGCAGCCCCGAGCGGCGCAGGCTCCCCGGACGCGGGCGGGGCGGGCAGCAAGCGCCGGGCGCGACGCCCGCCTCTACCTTCCTAAGCTGGGCGGTCAGGGCCAGCAGCTCAGCGTCCTGAGCGGCAGCGCTTCCCGAAGACAAAGCGTCAGACTACAAGGCCGCCGAGGGACGGGAGAGGTGGCAGGGGAGAAGAGAGACGCGGACGTGAGGCGCAGACGACGAGGGAGAGAGAGGAGGCGCCGGCCGGCGCGGCCCTGCGTGGACGGCCCCGCCCGCACGGCGAGGCAGCTCCCGACACGGCAGGGCGCGGGGGTCCCGCCCGGGGCACGCGGAGGCGCCGCTCGCTGCAGGCGCCGGGCAGCGAGGAGGGAGCGCTCGTGGCACCAACGACCGGGTCGCGGAACCGTTTCGTCCTTGCTGCTGGATGTCGGCGTCACAGAGAGCCCGGCCCCTCCGGTTTGGAAGGCCGGCTGCCCACGCCGCGCCCCCCACAGGCCGGCTGGAGCCCACGAAGCAATGACAGAGCTTGTACGGCACGCACACGGAGACAGAGCAGCGGGGCACAGGGCACAGAGAGGACAGGCGCAGAGTGCAGGGACCGAGAGGCCAGGGGACACGGGGACAGGGGCGTGGAGGGAGGCCTTCCGGCCCCGGGCGGCGACACCAGCGACAGGCCATACCTTGGAGAGCGCGGCCACCCGCTGCGCCAGCTCGGCCTCCACCTCGGGCAGCGTCTCGGCCTTCCGCAGCGTCTGCTGCAGCTTCTGCTCGGCCAGCTCTAGGCGCTCCTGCAGCTGCCGGTTCTTGTCCTCGGTCTAGAGAGACCCACAAAGCCCACAATAGCCACGGCGACGCAAACTGATCCTCCGGCCAGCGCAGCCACTCCCGGGCATCCCCGGAGCACACCAGGCTCTGGCGCCACGGCCAGCGGCAGGTGGCACTCCGAGCCCACCAGGAGTGGTCTCTGAGCACTGAGTCGGCCCTGAGCACTGTCAGCTGCAGCCCCCAAACTAGAACCCGTCGGAGATGCCGTCACAGGGCGCGGGGAGCCCAGACCAAATTCTCGGGAGCCAGCAGGCACTGCCCGCCCGGGCGTCCGCAGACCTGGCAAGGACAGCCGAGAAACGCCAGGCCCGGGCCGAGCGGCAGGGCAGCGCAGAGGCACCAGCCCTGTACACAGCTGACCGGGATTCGATCCCCGAGTACCGCTGGGTGTCAACTCCAAAACAGACAAAAACCATCCCAAAAAAAAGAAGAAAAAGGAAAACTTGATCACGGGAGCACAGCCGCTGAAAGAGCGCGCCCCGTTTTAGATCCGCTTTCCCAGAAGCAAAAGGGAGCGAATCTGCAGGCAGCAGAGGGGACGGACTCAGGCAGGGAAACGTCCACTCCAGGCCAGGACGATGCCCGAAGGGCTGCGGAGCCCAGGACACCGGAGCCCAAGGTTCAGGCCCTGCCTGGTCCCCTGGGACTGCGGGGTGCGGCCTCCAGCAGGGCCAGGACAGCCCCCGGAGCTGCCGCGCGCCCAGACCCAACAGGAGAGCAGCTGGCGCGTCCCTCCTGACGCCCGTATCCACAGGTACAGACCTGCTGCTCCAACGCCCCGGAGAGACTCCATCAGCGTCATACGCGCTGCCTAGTCTCTGAGAGCATCGTGGTAACTACCCTGTGACCTGTGCAGTAGCTCACACCAGCTGCCACTCTGGGGGCCACGGCGGGCGGCGGTGCCTGAGAACCGGGCGACAGGGCAGAGCCAGGCTGACGGGGCACAAGGAGGCCAGGCCCAGCTGCCGCCTGCTTGCTGCGGACCAACTCCCCCCGAGACCTGAGACGCTCTCCGGGCAGCTGGCTCTGCCCTCCCTGCCCCCGCCGGCTCTCACGGGGCTCCGCGTCTTCACCAAGAGCTTTTCGTTTTTTTTGTTTGTTTTGCTTTTTTGGGTCACACCCGTCGATGCACAGGGATTACTCCTGGTTCTGCACTCAGGAGTCACTCCTGGCGGGGCTCAGGGGACCATCTGGGACGCTGGGAATCGAACCGTGGTCGGCTGCGTGCAAGGCAAACGCCCTACCCGCCGTGCTCTCTCTCCAGCCCCACCGCGAGCTTTTCCAAGCCGCCACTGGCACCCGGCCGGGCTCCAGCCAGCCGCGAGGGAGCGCCGCCCGCCTCTGCTCCCTCAGAAAACGGCCGCGAGCCGCCGGCCCAGGAGCCGCGCTCCGCCAAGGGGCCGCGGGGAAGTCGAGGCCTGGCAGGTGGGATTTCACGGGAGGACACTGAGACCTGCCGCCCCCCACACACACGGGAAGGGCCGCCCACCTGCCGCTGCAAGGAATCCTTGGTCGCGATCTCGTTCTCCAGCTTGTCGTTGAGGTCGTGCACGGAGGTGGCCTCCCGCTGGGCCGCGAGGTAGCGCTTCTCCAGAGTGGTGATTCTCTCCTCCATGTCCTCCTTCTGGGCCATGGCCTGCGGTGGGCGCCACAGGACAGAGCGCACCGGTCAGAGGGCGTGCGGCTGCCGGGAGGCCCACGGGGAGTCCCGCCCCAGCCACGCGTGTCCGTGAGCCTGTCTTCACGCCATGCCCAAGATCTAGAGTTTTTTCCTAAATTTTTCCTTCCGGTTTGGGGGCCACACCTGACCGTGCTCAGGCCTCAGTCCTGGCTCCGGGCTCAGGGGACCCGGGAGAGGCTGGGAATCAAACCCAGGTGGCGGGGGCGCAGCCAGCACCCTCCCCGCGGTTCCACCTCTCCGGCAGCACCTCGAGAGCGCCTTTATGGTAAAACACGTGAGGAAGCGACATGGCCCCGAAAGAGAATCCCAAACCTGCGTCTTAAGTCTGCTGCACAAGGCATCTATTGCTCACCGCCAAAGATGACACTACTAGATACCAAAGACATGCCAATCTTTTTTTTTTTTTTGCTTTTTGGGTCACACCCGGCGATGCACAGGGGTTCCTCCTGGCTCTGCACTCAGAATTACTCCTGGCGGTGCTCAGGGGACCATATGGGATGCTGGGAATCGAACCCGGTTTGGCCACGTGCAAGGCAAATGCCCTACCCGCTGTGCTATCGTTCCAGCCCCAACGCATTTTTTTCTTTTTGGGTCACACCTGGCGATACACAGGGGTTACTCCTTGCGGTGCTCAGGGGACCCTGTGGGATGCTGGGAATCGAACCCGGGTCGGCCGCGTGCAAGGCAAACGCCCTCCCCGCTGTGCCATCGCTCCAGCCCCAACACGCCCATCTTTCAGCCCTGAACGCTTCCGTCATGTACAGACTGGGGCTGAGGGAGAGCACGGCGGCAAGGCGAACGGCCCCGCACGGCGTGGGACGCCTCCGTCCCACCAGGACTGACCCCGGGCAGCTGTGCGTAGCTCCCAGACCAAGATACTCAAGTGATAAAAATAAAATCCCCCCAACTGTGAAAGGTTCTCCCGCAAAGGGTGGTCTTGCTGGGGTGGGGGGGGGTGCGTGCGTGCCGCGTGGGAGCACTGTACGGGAGTCCACCCCGTGTCCAGCTCACCTCGCGCACGTCCCGCTGCAGCTTGCTGTTCATCTCCTCCGACTTGATGAGGTCCTTCCTGGCCGTGTCCAGGTCCTCCTCCAGCTCGACCACGTGGCTCGAGAGGGCGGTCAGGCGCTCCTTCATCTGGGTCTGCTCCTGCGCCTGCTTGTCCACGATGTCCTGCAGCTCCAGGACCCTGGCCAGGTCCTCCTCAGGGCCCAGGGAGCCGCCAGAGGAGCGCTGTGGGCAGAGGGGGCCGCCACGTGGCAGGAGGAACCAAAGACCCCCCGGGGGCACAAATGCCCAATGACTGGGCACCACCCCCCGCCGCTCAGAGCCGGGCCAGGGAAGCCTACAGGCCCTTGGCAGTCCGCAGACAGACCGACAGACAGAGCGACCGCAGGCACACGGCCAGGTCCCTCGCTGGGCAGGTGATGGAGACGAGGACAGAGCCTGAACTTACCTTTCCGTTGGTGCTTGGCGCTTTTTCTTCTTCGTGGTTGAGTTCAAGCACCCCATCGGTCACTGGTTTTTTCTGATTATTCTGTTCTTTCAGAATCACTAACTAAATGAAATAAGCAAAAAAAAAAAAGCGAGAATAAACAAAGGAGGGAAACAACGAAGCCCCTCTGGGAAACCTTCCTAGAACCGAGGACAGCGTGCGACAGAAACAAACAGCGGGTAGGGCCTTTGCCTTGCACACGGCCAACCCGGGTTCGATTCCCAGCATCCCGTATGAGCGCTGCCAGGGGTGATTCCTGAGTGCAGAACCAAGAGTAACCCCTGTGCATCGCCAGGTGTGACCCAAAAAGAAAAAAAAAGAAAGAAACAGCGCTGTGCCCGCACATGGCCTGAGCCCACAAACACAGCTTCTCTCCGGATGCCCTGACGGTGGACGAGCCGGCCCAGAAACTCACTCACCTTTTTGTGCGTGGATTCTAGCTCGTCCTCAAGCAAGCTACACCTTTCCAGGGCGAGCCGCAGTCGCTCACGCACCTGCCGGCACAGGGTGATGATTGGGCGAGGGCACCCAGGTGGGTGGTGGTCATTGGGTCAGGCCCCAGGGTGATCGGGTGAGCCCCCCCTCCCCCGGGTGATGAGCGGGTGAGGCCCCTCCCGTGGGAGCCCGGCCTGAGGCAGGGCTAGTGACCTTCTCATCCAGGGCCTTGTGGTGTTCGAACAAGGACTTGAGTGCCTTGAGGACCTCCACCTCGCTGGACACGCCGGCCGGCGACTGCGCCTGCCTCTTGACCACCGTCATCCGCAGCGAGCGCTCGTGCCGGGACACCAGGCACTCCAGGTGCTCGAGGAGCAGCTGGAGAGACAAAAGGCCGTGAGAGGCAAGGCCGCAGCACTGACTGTTCACGCCCGAGCGAAGCCCAGTCGCGTCCGCACAGAGGGCAAGCGGGGTCCCACAGCGAGGCCCGCGGACGCACCCTGGTGTTGTTCCTCTCGGCCTTCAGCTCGGCGACCTCCTCCTCCCGCTCGTGGAGCTGCTCCCGGCACACACTGAGCGCCCTGTTGAGGGCCGTGAACTCCTGGGAGACAAGAGCGAGGGCGAGTGAGCGGGCAGCCGCCAGGGCCAAGACGGGCGAGGCCGGCCGGCCACCGGGACTGTTCCCAACACCAGGGAACGACGGCTGGTGCCCGGGAGGATGGGCAAGAGGCCACGGTGCCTGGCCCCGCTCGCCTCTGGACAGGGCTCGGTGCAGGCTCCTCCCAGGGGGTTGGGGGGGGGGTCCTCGGGAAAGGGCCCCCGAAGAAGCTTCTCTGCAGCGAGCACAAACGCGGGGAGGGGTCGGGGGGGGGGGGTAGGAAAGAAAGCTCCACACCAGGGCACGGGTGCTGAGACCACACTGCCGAGGCACCAGGGTCCCCCTGGAGAACTGCCGGGTGAGCACTCGGCCTGGGGCGGCCCGGCCCGTGCCGCGTTTCAAAAAGGAACTTGCCCCATTCCAATGTTCCCACCCCGTCCCACCGTCCTTCGCTACCAGGCCAACCCACGTGCCTTTCACATCATGGGATACAGATACATACACACACACACACACACACACACACACACGCACTGAGTCTGGCAGGGCCGAGCTCGAAGCAGCGGCTGCTGCTGAGGGAAGACCCCAGGGCGGTTCTGAACTCATGACCCGGTGCTTTAAGTGGGAGCCCCGGTCACTGCAGGGTCCCTGCCAAGGGCCAGGCTGTGACGCACACGTGCATGACTGAGGCCACGGGCTCATCTGGACCACAGCCCTGTCCTGTGTCAAGCACTGCTGGGCACAGCCCTGCCTGGCGGCCAAGGGTACCACAAGCCCAAGGAGCCCAGGGTGTGTGCAGACCCGGACCCACCTGAGATCAGCCACTGAGAGAGGGCAGCGGGCGCTGTGGCGTGCAGGGGACACACCCACCCTGCCCAGGGGCTCCTCCTGGCAGTGCACAAGGGACCACACGGGGTACCGGACTCAAACCTGGCTTGGCCGCGTGCAAGGCAGACGCCCTGCTGCATGGACGCTCCAGCCCCGCGTCGTGCCCCTGTCAAAGCCTGAGACCCAGTGGGGCACCTGAAAGTCCCCTCAGGGTGGTCTCCTGAATCTGAACCCCAAAAGACAGCAGCCCGTTAACAGGTACCCCAGCCCTGGCCACACTGCTGCTCCGCCCTCTCTGGGGCCTGCACGCTGGCCGGCTCTGCTCTGCACCCCTCACCCACAGCCGCCCTCGGCCCCCAATACAAACAGAAAACCACGAGCAACGCCCCCCACCCGGGTGGAAGCGAGCAGCTCTGGGGAGGGCGGCACAGGCAGGGAGCCGACCTGACGGCAGGCCAGCCCAGGGCGGCTCGGACAAGACCCATTTCCGGGCCCCGTCCGGCCCTGCGCCCCCGGCCGCGGGCAGCCCTCGGGCCCACACGCGCACACAGGCCCGGGCAGGGCGGGGCGGCGAGGGCAGAGGGCGCTTGGGTCCTGGGCGGCTGGGCCCGCGGCCGTGGGAAAGGCGGGCGGGCACCAGCCCAGACACACAGCGGGCCGCGCCCCTGCCCCCACAGACCCGCTCGGGAACGTCTGGAGAAGGACGGGAAGGAGGGAACCGCGGGGGCCAGGCTGTGCAGTGCGGGCCGGGTGCACGGACTGGTTTGGCCAGAGCCGGGGTCTGCGGGCGCAGGCGTGGGAGAGGGGGCGGCCACAGCAGGGCCCCGGAAGGGAGAAGAACGTGAGCCGAGCACTGGGCACCGGGCACGAAGGCCCGAGCAAGGGGCAAGAGGACTGGCAGGGGAAGGCGAGGCTGCTCCCCCAGCCCACGGGAGGGAGACTGGGCGTGGCGGTGTCTGAGGCCAGCGTTCACCCGTGTGTCACCCCTGCCAGGCACCAGGGAAGGAGGCCCAGGAAGGAACGAGAGCAGAGGCTCCTGGTGTCACCAGGGATCTGGTGAAGAAGTGGACGGAACCACAGACACGGTCACGGATAGGTACAGATATAGTCACAGACACAGTCGCAGTCACACAGAGACACTGTGTCACAGTCAGAGACACAGTCACAATCAGACGTCGATGCAGACACTAACACACACAGTCACAACAGATACACACACACACACACACAGTCCAACAGCGAAGGGGGTCTGTCTGTGGTGGGGCTCCTGCGGCTCCCACCCGTGCTGGGGAGGGAGGCGGTGTCGTCACCACCGCCTCGGCCAGCGCCGGGCCCTGGGCCAGGCGGACAGAGCGCTCAGTGCAGCCGCCCCCGGCGAGGAAGCCACCGCAAACTAGGCACGCAGGGACAGGCCAGTCGAGGGCCGTGGGCGGGAAGAGTGGGCAGGGCAGTGTGTGCTGCAGGGGCCTTCGCAGGCCCTGCTGACCGCCAGGCCGGGGGCTCTCCCGAGGCCACCTTGCGGTCTGCGGTGCTGACCCCACGCACGGGCTTGTCCCACGGAACCCCCACACGTGCTCCCGCCGGGTGAAGAGGGGTGCTGCTGTGGGGTGGGGGGGGGGGGCGCGGGGAGGGGACAGGAGGCTCGGAAGCCGGGGTGCGGGGCAATCCAGGGACCGGCAGGCCAGCTCGCCCGCCCTCCACGTGGCGGCCGCTGCTGTCCGTCACAGTGCCAGGAGGAGGTGGCGGCTCCCGAGGCCACAAACCACAGAGCACGCTGCCACCCACAGCTGACCGCTCTGCAGCACGCGGCTTCACCGAGTCACACACGGAGTTTCTATCGGACAGGCAGGAAACAGGCACCCGGGAGGCCCAGAACTCAGGCTGCAGACAGGCCGTCCCGGCCACGTCGGGCCGTGTGTGCATGTGGGTGTGGCCGGGGGCGGGGGCACACCCACACCCCCCTAAACAGCATCTTAAGATTTCAAGGAAAGAGAAGGCTCGGCAGTTCCGAGTGGCCTGAAGTGGCCCTTGAGCCTCGGTGGACACTGCCCAGCGCCGGTCCGCATTCCCACCGACAGAGGCCTGCGAGGACAAGGCAGCCGGATGCTGGGCCCATTCCCAGCCCACTGCCAAGAAGGAAAACTTGAAAAAAACAGACATGCCTCAAGAGCCCTGGCTTATTTTCAGACAAAACGCAATTTCCTGCAGGGAACCGCAGGAGCCCGGCCAGCAGCGGGGAAGGCTCCGGGCCGCGGGGTCCGTCCAGCTGCCAGGGACCTGCGACGGAGCCCTTCGCCCTGCGTCTCCCCACGGGCACTCCCGAGCCACGGCCAGGCCCCCGGGACAGGAAGGGACACAGCCAAGGACACCGGCCGTGGGGTGCGCGCAGGCCTGGGGGAACCTTTGCCCCCAGGCCAATCGCGACAAAGCGCTGAGGACTTGGGAAGGCAGCGCCCCCAGAGAGAAATGCAGCCTGGGGATCAAGAAGAAACAGAAGCAAATGGCTCGCCTCTCAGACCACGTGTGTCTCCAACTTCACGTTCCTCGAAACCCCAGTTTCTAACCACGGAGCTTCAGATCTATTTATCCCAGGACCAAAAAAAGAACCGCCAAGAGATTCTCCGACGTCACTCCGTCGGGGGTTCTAACAACGGGCTATTAAAATGCTGAAGCCCCCTTCTGTTTCCCCCTCCCAGGCCTAATAAAATAGTCTCGTTGGGAATCAAAACAGGATGAGACAAAACATAGAAACATGAAATAAAGGGGAAACGGCACTTTAATTCGTAACGAAAAGACAAATTCACAATCTTCTCGCCTGGGACCGGAGACGCTGATAGCACGGGGGAGGGCACGTGCCTGGCACGCGGCCAACGTGGGCTCAATTCCCGGCACCCCACGCGGCGCCGAGCACCACCAGGGGAGGTCCCCGAGTGCCGAGCCAGGAGCACGCCCTGGGCACCACCGGCTGTGGCCAGAAACAAACGAAAAAGCACGTTTTTGTCTCTCGGCCTCCCGAAATGACCTCCGGAAGCTGTGAGCCCCTGGTCAGCCCCCAACACTGACCCCTCGACGTTTCCCCTCAGAGAAGGAACGGCTCAGACGGGAGGCCGGAAACCCCGTCGCGGGGGACAGTCTGGGGTCAGAAAACAAGCGTTCAGCGTGAAGAAGGGCCCGGTGGGGCACTGGGGGTCTGCATGAAAGGGGACCCTGAGCGGGGCAGGCCCTCGCGACACCTCGGCTCACCGTGACCGCCGAGCACTGGGCAGTGTCGCCAACTCACCGCCCGGGAAGGTCACTGCCAGGCGCCTGGGGTAGGGCAGAGCTGTCTTCTGGGGAGGGGCTGGCTGGTCCAGCCATCGTGGTGGACACGGCCAGCGGGTGGGGGTACCCCACTGCACACCCCTGGGCCGAGGGGCTCTAAAGCCTGCCTGGCCCTCAGCCAGGTGACAAGACAGAAAACCCACGGAAGGGCCCCGATGTCCCGGGGGGGGCGGAGCCGCCCCCAGAGTCCAGCCGGCACCCCAGGGGGGGCACACGTGTATGAAGCACGGGGGCTGCCTCCGGTCAGGACCCTGAAGCTCGCCCACATGGAGGTGTCCAAGGTGGGGCTCAGGCCCCTGGACACTGCACGCAGGACACAGCACACTGGGCACCCCATGTAGGACACAGCACGCAGGACTGTCCACGCAGGACTCGCAGGAAGGCTGGAAAACCCTCGCACCAGACCTGAAGAATAAGAGCTGCGTTTGTCCTTGAAAATAAAACTGGAGAGGAAATTTAAAGCAGTCTTTTTTCTAATCTTTATTTTCTGGTTTTGGACGACACCCAGAGGTGCTCAGGACCTTACTCCTGGCTCTGCGCTCAGGGTTCACCCGGAGGGAACTGGGGGCCCATATGGGGTGCTGCGGTCAATACCAGGGTTGCCACGGGCAGGCAAATAAATGCCCGATCTGCTCTGTGATCAAACATCACTGAGGTGCCAAGGAAGCCCTGCCCCGCGGCTCCAGCCTGGGTCTAGAACGAGGCGTGCCAAGCCAAGACCAGGACACTTCCTGTTCTCCTGCAGCGAAGGTCAAGAAAGATGGTGGTCGAGACCCCCACATGCTGCTTCAGACAGTGACGACCCCACGCTCAGCCCACTCAGCACGGTTGCCGCTTGCGGAGAGACGCCTGGA